CAAAAGAGGTGATTATCCCGCTGTATTCAGCGTTGGTGTGGCCTCACCTTGAGTACTGTGTGCAGTTCTGGGCCCCACAGTTTAAGAAGGATGTGAAGGTCCTTGAATGCATCCAGAGGAGGGCACAAAGCTGGTGAAAGGGCTGGAAGGAATGTCCTCTGAGGAGCGGCTAAGGACTTTGGACTTGTCTAGCTTGGAGAAAAGGAGGCTGCGGGGTAACCTCATTGCTCTCTACAGCTTCCTGAGGAGGGGACGCGAAGAGGGAGGTGCTGAGCTCTTCTCCCTGGTATCCAGTGACAGGACGTGTGGGAATGGTTCAAAGCTGCGCAGGGGAGGTACAGACTGGACATTAGGAAGCATTTTTTTACCAAGAGGGTGGTCAAACACTGGAACAGGCTTCCTAGAGAGGTGTCAATGCCCCAAGCCTGTCAGTGTTTCAGAGGCATTTGGACAATGCCCTTAATAACTTGCTTTAACTTTTGGTCAGCCCTGAAGTGGTCAGGCAGTTGGACTGGATGATCACTGTAGGTCCCTTCCAACTGAAATAGTTCATTCTATTCTATTCTATTTCCTTTTTGAAAACTCTCCCTTCTTTCTCCTCTTTTTTTTTTCACCAAACTCACTATTGTGTTTGAGACCAGGTTCAGATAATGAATTAACACAATTTTATGACAGTGTTAGTTCAGTTTATGCTGCTCACAAACCGTCATCACTGAATGTTGATTGTTTTGTGAAATGAGTAGCCACCATGTTTTAACTGCCTGTGAAAAAATAGACTGGAATTACATGGCTAGCAGTACAATTATATAGAAATGGCATACTGTTACAGAATACAGCCGGTGCTCATGTTTTGTTGGATTATATTTGCAAGTTACTGACAAAAATAAATTTCTACACCTGTAGAAATTGGAAAGGGAGCGTAGGATAGACTATTTCTCCTGCACAAATGACAGGATTGTCAGGAGACTTGTAACTGCAGAATGTTCTTTATTGGTGAATGTAAGGGAGAGACTTTACACAGGCAAAACTTCCTTTTGCTCTGAACTTATCTGGCTGTTAGAAAATAATTCTGTATCTTATAAACTGAACGTACTTAATTAGGCAGATAATGAGGATAGAGTGTTGTAGCCATTCTGAAATCTCTTTTTAGTACATGGCTGTAATCTAAAGCTAATTCGTTTTCAAAGCTCATTCTGGGAGACAGCCATTACCCCAAAAATTTAATGAGGTTTGATGTTCCTTTTAACTCACATGAATGCTAATCTAAATCATCCAAGTGGCAAAGTCTGACAAAATAAGCGTGTTATATTTCTGTGTAAGCAACAACATAGTGTTAGTAGTCACTATCTTCCTCAATAAGCAAAATCCTCACTGAACTTCAGAGGTCAAATTGCAGCTGATGTAAACTTGCATAGCTCTGAGTACTTTAAATGTGCTATACAGCTGGAAGTGCAAGGAGGACAGACAGAATAGCTAATGAACTCACCTACTCTGAGGTTACTCTGCTTTCCTCCCTGCTCCTGTTGCTGCAGAGCTGATGGTATTTTACAGATGTTAACAACAGAGAGAGCCCCAGTAACACAAGGTCACTGGTGTTTCTACTGCCCCGTGACCTAGACTAGTTCTAAAAAGGGTTAGATATTCCAGGGGTTTTAAAGTGCTGGCAAAAGGAGTGTTCATCACCTCATGTTAAGCACCTGGTTTAAGCCAGCTGAATTAGGTCAGGCTCCCTCGCATCCTAGGAAGATTTCTTCCAGCAGGTTGTATGTAACATTTTCTTTCATACACAACCAGTCGTCCAGCCTTAGTACCTCAAACCAGAGAAGTGTGTTGAAATTTCAGAAAGTCCTCAGTGGAGGGACAGCTACTGAAGGCATGGCTGTGGCTGTGGGGCTAAGGATGAAAAACGTCACAGAAAAACTGGGTCTCCTTAGCTTCCAGCACCATTTATACAGAACAGTGCTTCCATTTAAATAGAACCCAGATAGGTTAAGGACTTTCAGTAGTCTGTGATTTAGGAGAGACATGCTTTCAGCGCTGGCAGCATGGAACAATCCATTTCATAAAGTCGATAAGGATCTGTGAGCTGCATGGTTGATCACAGCGGGTTTGTGGCACTGTAAATAGCCAGCACTGAGCCAGTCAGATATGTTTTTGATGGCAGGTTTTTAGTCTGTTTTTTATAACCGTGGTGGAAGAGTTATTGGCTAAACAACTTTTGTGATCCACTGAAGAAATCAAATTCTAGCATATTACTTGCATATTTTGTCTTTATCATGTAGTCTTTTTTTCACTGCTATTTCCCCAAGGTGACATTTACTGTTCTAAAAACTTGGGAAGAGCTCCATGGTAGCAGAAGAATGAAGGGCTTGTTCCTCAGGAAAAGCTTTGTAATTGATTATTTATAATGATGCTTCTTTATTATAAACAGATGCCATTTGATACTTATTTTTATTGATATGTGCAGCAGAACGAAGAGGGGAGATATATTAATTCTGTTTCTTTTGCAGTGCACGGTTACTTGTGGTGGTGGAATAAGGACTCGTAATGTCACTTGTGCCAAAAATAATGATGAGCCATGTGATACTTCCAAGAGACCAAACTCTAAGGCCCTGTGTGGTCTCCAGCAATGTCCTTCTGCTGGAATATTTCTGATACCCCCACTGGCACCCAGAAGAGGAAAGATTATAATCAGAAAAACAAGTACTAATCCCAAACGGAGTCCTCCTCGCAGAATACCCATACCAAGCCCAAGGTCCCATACAACAACAAAAATACCCAAGCCTGAAAGTGTAACTCCTTGTTTGCCTACATCTTCTGGTTTGGGTAATGTCTCAGAAAAAGAAGGAACAGCCAACAAAACATTACAAAATAATTTTGCTGGACCAAGTGATGTTTACAATTATCCGGTTGTTTCTACTGAAAATAGTTCACACCAAAATACTACTTCATGGCCTTTTCATAATAGCTTAAGTACTGAAATTATAAGGCATGCTGAAAATATTTCTGAAAGGGAGCCAGTTTCTATTGTAGAAAGTGAGGTGCAAAGAAGTGAGGACACTCCTGTCTCCTCTTTTACCAGTAGTCCAGAAATAACTTCCAGCTATGATTACTTAACCGAAGAATCTGATTACATTGATGGGTCAGTTGGAGGCAATGAGAAACCAACTGATCTCCTTTACAGCACAAAACTCAATCCTGAAATCACAACCAAGAGCACAAGCCTAGATACCAGCTCTCCTGTCCTTCAAAACGAGAGCATGACTTCTCAGCGCACCCCTGCATCTCATCACCGAGAACCTTCTACACTCCTTCCTGTTAGCAGAGCAACACAAGGACTGGCATTTCCAACAAGTGCAAACCGTATCAGCCTGCAAGTTGATGTGCCTGTTGTAGAAGTAACTACCCAAGAAGCGTCTATTACAGTAATGCCCACAGTGTTTGGTCGTGTACCGAGAGACCAGACTGACAACAGAAGAGAAATGAAGCTACTTGACACCATAACCTCCAGCACACAATCGGCAGCTCTCAAGCATGTTCTCAGAAACCAAAGTGCAATATCTGAGGGGGTTTTGACGAATGTCACACCAAACAGCCACCTAATAACATCCAACAATTTGCCTGGTGATGCCTACTGGATAGTAGGCAACTGGAGTGAGGTAAGTTATTTTTAACTCATAAGAAGTGGAGAGTGTGAACAGCTGTCTGAACCACTGCTAAGGGAATAAAACTTCTTAGTTTGTCGCCAGTATCTGAAATGAGTATCGTACATTCAGATTAAATACTTGTCGCACAAATAAATTGGTAACTTGGAATATCTAATGTCAGATTGCTTACATAGAATGTGTCTGTATTTACGGATTCTGCAAAACTATGCATAGCTCTTCCAGGGTCATGACATTCAGGTTTTACTGTAACCAGAAAGACCTCAAGAGTTTTGTTTTAGGACACAGCAAAAAATTAAGCTATTAGGTGAATCCTGGAGACACCAAATGAATATGCTTGTGTTTCCAAATAAGTACATAACGCAAGTTAGATGTAGATGTGCTATTATGTTCTAATCTTCACTTACATATCATTTCTCTCTAAATTATGTGTGTTTTCTAACTTAGTATGTGACCAGGATCATGTAGGTAAGCTAGCCTTATTACTCTATAAAGTACATCAATAAAATGGATACTTAAACATATTTTTAGTTGGCTATTAATGTAACAGGTTTTTGTGGTGCATTTCTGTCTCATCCCACTATCACCGTTTGTATCCACCATTAAGCAAATACCTCAGAACTCAGAGCAGCATTCTGCCTGGTAAAACCAGTTTGAATCTACAAAGCAAAGATAAGAATATCAGTCCAAAGTTGAACTGGTATATCCGGGGTTGATAATTTGTCCAGCATATGTCCATGGGGAGACACTGTAACATGGAGTTCTGCACCTTTTTTTGAAGTTTAGGTGATCGTGTATTGGAACTGGGTTGTAGCAGTGGTAAAGTAAAAGCATTTTGTCTGGTTGGCATAAAAGTTAGAATCGTCAGGCCAGTAGTTGTGGTTGTACAGTATCTTTGGATACAGCAGCTGATAATTAACAGTGTTATATATATCTTGTTTGAATGTAGAAATGAACAGTTATCTGCATTAATTTGGCGTAATGTGCCAAAATGAACTTTTTAATTTCTAACAGTAAAGAAATGCAGTCAAAACAGGTATTAACACCCTGTAATACTCACTTTTGAAAGCTCTGTCTTTCTGTTTGGGTAAATAAAACAAGTACAGGGAGTTTGAAAACTCTTTTGAGGTGTAAAGCATCTGGAAGATACTTGGTCTGAAAGGTGATGACTTGTCCCAGTTTCCCCTGATCCCTGTCATTACTGAATTGTTATAATACTTGGGTAACTTCTTCTGTGCAGGAGCAATATAGGTTGCAGAGTTTTCTGTGGCTTCAGAAAAGTGCTTGCTATTTTTTGTATATTGCTATTGACTGTCCTTTACCAATACCCAGCACCAGACTTTTTGACAGTTAGGTTTCTGTGCTGTTACATTGCTGTGTCCTGAGATAGTAATTGCTGTGGGGTCAAGGCTGGTGGGGGGCAACCACCTAATTCTAGGAACTATAACAAAAGAATATAGAATAAGCTTCTATTTAATATCCTTCCCACTGTAAAATTCTACTTTTATGTAAACAGAGTTCTTTTTATGCTAATAGATTTTATATTCTTCAAATCATGATACCTAAAGTGAGAAGCTTTGGTATCTGAACCAGTTACCTCATTTTTCTGATGGCCTTTTTTAACCAAGCTAATCAGTACAGCCAAGGGTCCAGATCTGGAACCTTCCTTGCGCTAATCTGCCTCTGTGTCTCAGTATTGATGGAGAACGCTATCAAAGGTTTGTTTCTCTGTACCTGTCTGCTCTCGGGTCTGCCTGGAATGATGCAAATTAACGGAAATGCAGAAATGCAAGACTAAAAAGAACAGCAAGAGATGACTTAGTGTATCCCATGGCAGTGGAGGCACAGCTAGACCACCAAGATCTGTTCGGTGCCCTCTGTCTGGATGCTGCCAGTGAGGAAGACCCCTGCTCTGCCACCACATCAGCAGTTGTTCAAGACATTCACTCCTGATGGCCGTCTGAATTTTCATCTTGTGCTTTCCTATGGCTAGGTGAGAATGCCTTTAGCTTCCCATGTTCAAGTGGGACAAGTGAAGCATTTCCTTCTGCACATGCCCAAAGACCTGCGTTTAGATCTGCTTGGGTGAAAGAGCCTGACAGAGAAAGTCCAGACAAAGGTTGTGCTCCCAAGTCCAGCACATCACGAACAGAAGTCTATAATACAGAGATCTACAGTCTGTCCTAGTCATTCATTATCCGCATTAGAAATATTTTCCTTATACATAACCGACATTTTCTGACTGAAAATGAAGATTCTATTTTTTATATGCAGACCATGGAAGATAATTGTCTTTTTAGTAACTGGTTTTGGATCTGTTTTCTAAACAAAACAATCTGGTTCTTTCCATATTTTCTTTGTGTTTTCTAAATATCTGGTGATTTTGTTGTTATCCTATGGACTTGCTCAGTTTCATCATATATTTCTTCATCAGTGATGTTCATATCGCCCCAGCTGAGACCTGGCAAATAAAATGGAATAATTAGTATCATTTTATATATGACCCTCTTTGTGAATGTTGGGATGAGATTTGTCTTGTTTTGTAACCATCCCACTTCAATTTATTCAATTTGTGGTCTGTTGTAAACCCTGGATCCCTTAATACAGTATTTCTAGATCAGCAGATGCTCTCAGGTTTTTGGGGGGAGTGTATATATGTGTGTGCGTGTGTATGTGTGTGTATATATATATGTATGTGTATATACACATAAAAATGTATATATATGTATAAAAAGTTCTCCTTAAATGTAGGAGTTTGCATATGTTTTTGAATTTCAGGTTACTGTTTTCCTACAATTTTTCAACTTGGCGAGATGTTTTTCAATTCAGATTGTGTCCTCCAACAGTCCTGCCAACTCTCCTAACTTGGCGACATCTGCAAATGTTATAAGTGCATGCTGTCTTTCATCATTCAGTTAGTTAACGAAAATACTGAAGAGAGCTTGGCTTTGGTCAGAGCCCTGCAGGACCATATTTGAAATGTCTTTTCATTTTGACACTGAATCACCAAGGACCACTTTATTACAGTTTTTCAGTTAGTTGTGCACCAATCTTGTAGTGATTTCACCTAGACGATATTTCCATCATTTCCTAAAAGAATGCTCTATGAGATCATGTCAAAGTGCATCACATCAGCTGGCTCTCTATTTTCATTAAGCCAGGTACGCCTGTCAGACAAGGATCATAGAATCATAGAATGGTTTGTGTTGGAAGGGACCTTTAAAGGCCAGCTAGTCCAACCTCCCTGCAATGGGCAGGACATCTTCAACTAGATCAGGTTGCTCAGAGACCTGATATCAGATTGACTTGAATAATTTGTTCTAGATAGGTCCATGGGGGCTGTTTTATTGCTTTATCATCTTTGTCAGTATTTACCATTTTGATCTTGTTGGTTTAATAATTTGCTTTTGTATCTTCTTGTGAAGTAAAGTTAGGTGAAGTGTTCCATTAGTCCGCAGATCTGCCTTTTTCTTTTCCTAAAGATAACTTGAAAGATGTTCTTCTCTAATACTCTGGGACTTTCCCAGTCTATTTTAAAAAATAATTTTCAACAGTTCAAAGATTATTCAAGATTATTGAACAAATACTGAGGTAAGGTCAATGCATTTGGTTTCACAAATCAATTCAAGGATACTTAATGCATCTAACTTACTTTACTATTCTTTAGGTTTTTAGTAATCTTTTGCTATTCTCGTTCAAGCTGCTGTTTCTTGTTAAAATTAACTTTATGTGAAGCCTGGCACATTGAATTTTTTTTTTCAAGTTTGAAGAGAAAAGGTGGTGAAAAAGAGAATTTGTGGAATCTCCATCCTTGGAGATATTGGCTCTAAGTGGCCCTGCTTGAACAGGGGGGTTGGACAAGATGACATCCAGAGGTCCTTTCCAACCTCAACCATTCTGTGATTCTGTAAATAAGTCAGCCATTATCTTTCTCATAAAGTAGAAGTTTTGTATTTCCTCCCCACACCTTGATTCTAACATTCACAGAACCTTTTAATTAATTTTTAGTCTAAAATTTTCTGACTTTATTTTTGTTCTTTTTATTTACCTGTCCTTAGTAAAATTTTGTGCCAGTTTTTAGATGACATCTCTCCAAGGCATTGATATTTCAAGACCGTTGCATCTACCTAGTTGAATCTCTTGCTAAGCTCTCTTTCTTTCTCTTTTAGTGATTGCAAATATTCTGACATTTCTTCACTCCTTAGGGTGTATCTATACTAGTAAATAAATAGTGCCCAAGAATAGTGATAGTCACTGAGGTGGATTGGTGTGACATGTCCCATAACACTGTTGACACTTGCTTCCCAAGGGAGAGCACCAATTAGAGTAGGGCAAAACAGTGCCCAATGACACCGGTACCTCTGTAACTTTTAACTTCTTGCCTAGTGCTTTCCCAGGCCATTCTGGGCTGTCACTTTTCCCTTTCTAAGAGCTTTCTGGGTACCAAAGATACCCCATTACCACCAGATCTGCTCATTCTGCACCTCTATTATTGGTCGTGGAAAGTCACCTGCTCTTCCTCCCTCTGTAATAGACATCTACTGTGACAAGAGGAAGTCTTGGTTCCTGAATGACAAAAGGGAAAAGCAGTAAGTCTTTCTGAACTTCAGAGCAATCGATCTCCTTTATGTAACATGAAACAATGGTCAGGAAAGCTAAAGCTTTCTCCCAGTACTATTTGCAGCATCATGCCTTTCTCTCTTGGCTCTGTACCTGCACATGATGATTTTTGAAAGAATCCTGCTGTGTTTCACCTCCCTCAGACAAGAACGTAAAGCTTTGTAAGTATGATCTGCCCAGATCATCCCTCGAGCTATCTTTGGTCTTCTCATGAATGCCCATCAAATAGTCAGCAACCAAGACAAGGACAGTCCATCCTCTTGAACAGACACGTCTTGGGTAGATATGTGACTATGCAAAACTGAACAGTGGTACGCAGTCCCCTTTAACAGGATCTTTGTGGCCTCTTGGACAGATGTCCCAGGAATCTCAGAAGCTGGAGATGGCATGCTGCAGAGGCCTTGCAGATTCACACTCTTCATAATGTGCAATTTTTCAAAAATTCTTTGTTGTGACCGTTAACCATTTTGTCTTTCTCTGATTGAATCTGGTAACATCTCCATGCCTTCAATGTTTTTTTTTTTCCCCTGCCTGAGCTTCAGCTTAGCTTTCCTTATCTTTCCAAGGACACTTACTCAGCTTTCCCTGTTTAACTCTCCCACTTCTGTGTAGGGAGTTCAAACCACACAATAGCAGTTGCCTTCTTCATAATTTTGCTGACTTAATCCAAGATTATTTATGCTGTTTCTCATGCCAGCTACAGTGGATTTGACTCTATGCGTATGGTTCACTCTCCCTCCCTTTTTAAGGAAGAAAAAGGTAAATGGGTGTCTCCAGCCACTTTTCACCTCTTCCTACTTCAGAATGCAATGATAGTGACTTTTTTGGACTGACATGATCAATATTGTCTTACCTCAGACACTAAAACCCTCCCAAATGTTGGAAATGCTTTGCCACTCTCTGAATTCATCATTTCAAAAATCCTTTTCCTGCACAGTTTTCCCAAGAGTCTCACACAATTTATTTCAGATTTTCAGCATTGTGCATTCAGTTTGCTGAATATCTCATCAGCAGTATAAGGAATAGAGAGGGAACAGTGCTGAAGATTGGATGCAACGGCATTTTGCATTGGATCCCCAAAGATCACAGAAGGAAACAGTGGAACAGCTGGTACAGATTTAGAATGTCTCAGTAAGCAGGAGTTTGCCAAAGAAGAGCAGTGCATGGTATAAATCAGAATTGGTATTTTCTTAACAAAGCAACAAAAAGACCTCCTTGAGAACCTTAAGTAAGACTTAGGTGAATTTGAAATCTTCTTTTGAGTATCTCAGATAACCTAGGTCATCTAAAATGGCTCTAGATATTTATATTTAGGTTCCTGGATTGTTTCCAGGATGATTTACTAATGTTGAGTTTGCCGCGGGCTTTCCTCTCACCCTTGTACAGTGCTCTACCACCTGTGGAATGGGGGCTTTCTGGAGACACGTGGAGTGCAGCAGCAGGAACACATCTCACTGTCAGCACATGAAAAAGCCTGATCCTGCAAGAAAATGTTATCTCCGCCCATGCGCTAGCTGGAAAACAGGAAATTGGAGCAAGGTAACTTCATTCAGAGCTGTGTGTGAACAGTAAGCTTGCTAACTTCGAAGAGTAGGGAGTTCTAAATCCTTCATTTTTAAAATAATTATTTACTCAGTGAATGCATACATGATTCCCAGTTGACCATTCAGCACTAATTTACTAATTTCCTGACTAAGTTATTTATGGAAACACATCTGCTGTGAGTTCTGTTCTTCCTGTGTGGGGGTCATGCTCATTAACTCTTGCATCTAGAGGTAAAGCAGGGCTCCCCATCCATGTTCTGTCGAGATCCTAGGGCAAAGCTGTACATATTTGCATGTGGCATCTTTTCGATCTCTGCCTCCAGAGGTGTATCCTAATTTTAAGAAGCAAGTGGGAATCTGGGAGAGGGAGTTGGCATGTTCCTGTTCACCCTTACCACCATGTATTACCTCTTACGTGACATGGTCTGTTCCCCATTCAAGTAACCTCTAAGTTTTACATTGTAAAAACTAAGTAAAAATGTACTGGGGAGAATGCCTGCTATGGCTAGTGTCTTATTTGGTCCTAGTTATGTACACAGGCCTGGTCGAGAGGCAGGAGAGTGTCCAAGGTGGTAAGTGGAACCCAAGGAATTGTGTTTGAGTTCTTTTTTGATATTGTAAGATGTGTGATGAACGCCTGGAAGGACTTGGGTGACTTCTTGAAGCTTGTTACGTTTTGTCTTCACACTGTCTAAAATTGGGGCTTCAAACAGTTGGTTATTTTTCAAGACTCAGAAGAGAAAAACTACAAAATTCTATTTGAAATAATGTTGATTTAATAAAGAAAAAGATAGATGTCTCAAACTTTCTCAATACATATCACTTTTGTGGATAATGTTGTTGCCATTGGACTGGAGGGCAGATTCGTACAAAGAAAAGGTTATAATTACAAAACCTGTGTTATATTATTGAGCTCTTTGACATAGAATTGATTTGTACGTGACATACATGACTCTTTAGAAAGTCCACAAAAGGCCAAGGCATTACATAACCACATTTAAGCCTTTGAAACTCATTTTAATTGATACATAGACATTCTGCGGTCCCAGTTGCAGTAGGGCATATTGGACCTTCACTTTTTCTTCGTAAATGTTATTGGTCTTGCAACAAGTTATGTCACAGGAAGTAGCTAGAAATCAGGTTTAATGATAAAATATTATAGGAAACAAATGTTTTAAAGTGTCAGTCCCATTATGAGGCCAATTTGAGACAAAAGGCCTTTCCTAGCAGGTTTCTGTTGGGTTAGCCACCCTTATTTTCCAGCAATTGAACTATACAAATCTAATTACAATTTCATATATAAAAATAGCTATTTTTTGTTTGCTTTTGGAAGTGGCAATTTTTTTTCTCGTTACTTGTTTCAAACATTTTTATGTCACATCACAGCACAATGGCTATATTCCCCTGCTAGTGTAGTAAAGCCTTTTCTGTTCCTTTTATCTTATCTAATTGTTCCCCTCCCGGAAAAGAAAGGTGCTTCAGACTAGATCTTGCAGTCTAAGTTTAATACCAAATATAATTTGTATGTATTTTGGGGCTGTGTGTACTCAGTTTCTTGCGCAGTCACTTCTGTCCGTTGTTTCTATCCAGAGGAACAGAAGCTTCTGTGAACAAGAGCATGGACTCCCCTTCCATCCATCCTTCAGCTTCCTGAGGAATTACTATATTCAGTTTCCTTTGTTCAACTGAAGAATGCTTATTTATGCAAAGGAGAACAGTATCAGTTGTTATATTGCACCATGGCAGTAAAAATGAAAGCTGTTCTGAAGTTATTCAGTGGTGTCAGTAGAATTGGCTTTAATTCTGGATGAAGGCAAAATAATTAGATGTATATTTGTCCTTATTCTTGGGGTAACAAATTCAGTTCTTCCTCAGCAGCAGGAGGGGTCCTGGGCTTTGGTAGGTCGGGGCACAACCTGGTGCTGCTGTATGAGGCCTTGGAGCAGGCTCTGGGGAGAAATAGGAGACTGGAAGGGCTTGCTTGGCTCACCAGTAGAGCTCCAAGCTGAGAGGCGATTTCACAGGCAGTGAGTGAGGCTCAGGGTGTCTCTGTCTTCTCTCCCATTCTCTCATGCCTGGGCTGCTCTTGGGGCATGGGTCCTCCCGGTGCCACGGAGGAGCGAGGAAGATGAGGGTGGGAACTGCTGCTGTGGGACAAGTCCACCATCTCCCAGTGGTTTCAGCAGCAGCTCAAGTCTATGGGCTAAGACGAGGAGCAGTTTTGCCAGCCTGAGCAATCTGCTGCCATGGACACTGACCTGTCCCATGGCTGAATGAGAAGTCAGCTATGCAGCTGTGCCCTTCCTCCCTTCCTCCCTCAGAAACAACTAAACAACTGACAATTTCCCTGCATACAGGATTTGTTTATTGTATTTATTGCATTATGACTCTTTCACTATGACATGTTTGGAAATAGCTGGCAAGATTTCCTAGTTAAATATGCACTTGTATTATTAATGGATGTTCCAGTGAAGAAAGGGAAATATTTGTACAGTGTGTTCTGATTGAAATGATGAAAACCACGGTTTTTAAGCCTAACAACAGGTTGTTGTTACGGTAAACTGGAAATTCCCTCTGTGAGTCAGGATGCTCAAAGCTTGGGCTGTCCTCCTTCTCTGTGACTGGGGAAGGGACAACTGCTCAGCAGAGCATCGTTTGGAGATGTGCCCCTTTCTATTTTGTGTACAGTGCTCTGCTAACTGCAACGGCGGTTTCAAGATCCGGGATGTTCACTGCATTGATGTTCGTGAAAAGCGACTTCTAAGGCCTTTTCATTGCCAATTACTCGGAAATAAACCACAACTCACCGCTAGTTGTAATGTGGAGCCTTGCTTGCAGTGGCATGTGGAGCCCTGGAATGAGGTATTGTTCTTTAAAAGCAGCTTTGGGAATGAACAGTTAGCTGTCAATTAAGAGTGACTGTTAGATCCCATGTTGTTAGGTAAACTTTCACTCAAAGGAAGACACGCAGTGTCTTCAGTCCTGTGTATGACTCTGCAGTCCTTGTGTATGGTTACAGCAAAAATTATCGTAGACGTTCATAAGACTTCCCAGAATCATTCTTAGGATTGCATGTGATACAGAGCTAGAGCTGTAAATTACCATACCCTGAAAAAGAGAAGCAGATGGCCTGGAAGAAGATTTGTTTTAGCTGTCCTACTGGATCAGTAAATGTGATTCATTCAGATTGATCCCTTCTGCTGCCATTTTAATGTTGCTTTCTCATTGTGGTTAATTTAGAATTTCCCTTTACACTTTCGGTTTGGAATTTTATGGGGCCAGAGACTGAGGTCAGACATAAGATAAATCTGACTTTTGGGTCACTTTGTAATATAAATCCGTGCCAACAAACTCGCAGGCAGCCAGGCACATATTTATGTCAGTTAAAGCATGTGGTCTGATTATGTTTTAGTGTTTACTGAAAGCAGCTTTGGAGAAAGCGCCACAATGTTTGCAGCACTGTGGACCTGATGCTTTTGGATTTCAAGGGAGGTGGTCACATTGCTTCCTTACGGGCCACAGGCAAATCACACCTGCAATAAGGAGGAGACCAGGATGTGACTTTCCATTCAGAGCAGTCGGCAAGGGTTGAAAAAATAAGAGTAGCCAAGTGATTGCACCCATTTGCCACTTAAAATATATTATAAAAACGTTTGTCCAACCCTGGCAGTTGTCCTCATGCTAAGGATACTGGATAGAATTGGATTGAAAAGGTTCATTTATCAGATGTCAACTCTGGTCCTATGTCTGTAGGGATGCAATTCCTTGTAAGACAGGGACAATGCATTATTCAAAGTATATCTGGCACCTTATTTCATGTCAGAGTACAAAATCTTTTGTGTATTTCAAGCAGGCTCTACTGCAGACCTAGTGAACAATAGTAAAAAATCAGTTGGTAAGTAATACTAGAATGTGGACAGAAGAACGTTAAAAAATAACCTGGGTTGCTGTTTTTGTATGATGCTTTTATTGCCAAATAGTTAATTTATTGTATGGATTGGGTGAATTTCAATGTCTCCCACTGCCTCATAAAAATGCGATGTTGCATCTCATGAACCTGTACTATTTCCAGAAAATATTACAGATTAATCCTGCAGACATGTAACTTCCAATCTCATTCTTGTTAGAGAAGTTACTGTTGCTGGTAGTGCTGCATGAGCAGTTCTGTGTGGCCTGTTCTGTATTGCCATTTCCATGCTGTCCTATCTTCCTTGCATTAATATGTGTCAGGAGCAGCTTTCCCCCGAGTATTTTGGACCAATAATGGCTTCTTCCCTGTCTCTTTCCAAGCATATGACGAAATAAGTATCTCAGTGCAGAGCTTTTCTTCTGGACTGTAAGACTTGATATGCAGGCTAACCTGTGTATCTTTCTAAATCACATGGGTCAGTGAGATGCTTCTTGTTACCTGTGGCTCCACATTTCTAAATGCAGAACATTTCCTACTGTCTTTATGGTCTGTTTCTGGGTTCTCATCTATTCCCACCTCTCTCCTCATGGGTTTGTGCACCTCTTTTGTTAGTGTTCGAGAACATGTGGTGGTGGCCAGCAAAAGCGACGTATCTACTGCCCAAAAGAAGACTACTGTGACTGGACAAAAAGGCCTAATGCCATTGCATCATGTAACAGGCAACCTTGTACGCAGTGGATTAACCAGGCATGGGGCCCGGTAAGATTCCGATCTTGTTTGTTTTATTTGTTGTCCTGAGTTGGCCGTATTTGGTGATATTATTCATTTGCCTGTGAACCTCAGTGTTATGGCAAATATGGTTTCTTATGCACAGCTGGAGCTATAAAGGAAGATCTTTTGAAAATACTACTAAACATTTCAGAACCAGCCCATCTCAATTCCTTCAGGTGATAGACATTGTAGCTTTTACTTTTTGTTGCTGCATTAGACATGGTTGGATGGAGGGCTGAGGGTTTTTCCCTTTTCTAATAAAAAAGGACTTACCATTGACATTCTTCCATTACTGATTTGAAATTTTCCACTGGAAGAGGCTACTGGGTAGTAAATTCAACCATGTTCAGTTAGATATAGAATAAGGTAACATTTCAAGAGGATGACAGGACAAGAGCATCTGTAGAGAGGGAGGGAAGAGCTTGAATTGCTAATAAAAGTCCCTGATACAAGCCAGCTGAATCCTTCCAAGTACAACCAGGCTGTTTGATCTGTCTGTGCTTCCAGAGCCTCTCCAGTCATTGTAATGTTTTACCACTCAAGACTGTTTTTTCGGGGGTTGGCAGGTGACCCTTAAAGCAATTTTGTGGAATATTGGACTTGTCCACACAAGCAGAAATTCTGACCAAAGCCCTGTACTTTGGCTTCTGGAACTCTAAATGACAAATATGGGGTGTATCTTTGGGGAACCTTCCAGTATCTACAATACATATTTAGTTATAAAGAAACTGGTATAGCTAATAAACGTTTCCCTCCAGTTTCCTTAGTAAACCTATTCGTACATTACAAATAGTCCTCACAACAGAAGAGAACATTGAAAGAACACCAAAAGCCAGGAGCCACAAATAAGGAAATAATGGAAAGCCATTTAACACAGAAAATTTTATGAGTCGTTTTTGACACAAAGCTGTTAGATGGGATATGAGTATAATGTAACGTAGAGTTAGTGTAACTCTAACACTTAAATATGGAAGTGAAAATGTTGGGACATGCATAAAATAAGCAACTGAATATCAAAATGTGTAGCGGCTATTTTACTGATTTGTTAATCCCATTTATTTTACTTTATAAAAAAACTACTTTAAACATTAATCTAAAGTTGCCACAGGAGTACCTAGGATCTTTTAAGGTACTTCACACTAATAATACTGTGTTTTATGCACAGAGGTATACATTAGAGAGAGGATAATTTACAGAAAAATTAAAGAGCTACCAGTCCTGTCTTCATCTCTTGCGCTTCATTAGCTGGCATTCTCTGTCTGTTGAAGTATTTCTCTTGCTGGCCACTATTTATCTGAAAAGAAAAATAATTTAAAATTAACTGGAATTCTCAGATGCTCTGGGATGTCAGAAGAATTAAGTTCATTTACAGAATAGTACAGGAACATGTTTTGAAAATGTTCTTTTTTTATGGCTGTGTGCAGCCAGAACAAGCAGCTGGCAGTTTTGTGGTCGTAAAGAAAGGGTAACCACAGTGTAAATGTCACCAAAGAAAAAACATCTCACTGAGCTTTTTTGAAATCTTCAGCTCAGTCATGTCTAGACCTAACATTGCAATTGATTATTCATGTTTACTTTAGATGGTGAGAAAACACAGGAAACAAAAAATGTCAGTGTGCAGTACTAATTTGGATTACTATTCTCTTACTTTGTAGGACTGGCATTTCAGATCCTTCTCCTCCTCTGTAGAAAACAGTCCCCTTGTCCTGGTTACACATTCCAAGATGCTGTATTTGTACTATTTACCCCTCTATCGTATCCTGCCAAATGCACCATGGAGGTGCCACGATGCACCATGGAGGTGTCTGGATGGAGAATGCAGTACACAAAGTATTTTAGTGTAATTCATTCTGGATCATACGGCATTTTTAGCTTTCCGTCACATTACAGCTCAAATATTTCACAATTTCCATTAAAAGACTTTTATGTATGTTAAAATTGCTCTCTTTCAGTGCACCGTTTCTTGTGGAGGAGGCATTCAGGAAAGAACTGTGAAGTGCATGAACATAGAAACTAATGAAACTGAAGATGACAGTATGTGTGTGGGTAAACCCAAGCCCACAGAGTATCAGAAATGCAATCTGCAAGAGTGCAGGAAAAGTACAGGTATGATAATACACCTGCATCAGACAAACAGCTCTCCATTTGTTCTGAGATTCTGCAAAAGCTGGGAGCTAACCCAATTGATCAGCGTACTGTCGATACTACAGGCTCAGTAATTATAGGTCAGCCTAACCTGCTACTGCTCAGCTGCACTGTTGGCAGAATCACATTGTCATGTTCTCCAGCCTTACTGGCCTTGTGTTGCCATGATGGGGAATGCAGTTCTCTGAGCACGCATCCCTAATTTATGATGCCACAACTATTGTATTGACCTGTTTTAGGTAACTCAGGCTGCTTTGAGGGCTGTGGAAGGACATGCTGTGAGTCCAAACAGATGCCATTTCTTAAGACAGATAGCCCTATGGGAACTGCAAATTCTGGACAGGGAGTGCAAGCAAGCAAAGTGAGACATTCACTGTAAGAAAAATCTGACTGGCAGTGAACCCAGATATAGTCTTGGCACTATGAATTCAGTGTCCCACAGGGTGAGACTGCCTCCAAAATGAAGAGGTGGAGAGAAGTCCTCTTGTGACTCAGGGTGTCCTGTACCTCTCTCCTTCAAGGGCCCAGGAACCCAGTTGTGTGGATGGTAGTAGCCCAGAAAAGAAGTGGCAGGGGAGGGAGGAAGCTTACAGAAGGGCATCTTTATTTGTAGTCTGTGTACTGAGTATTCAGCAGGTACCCTTGGGTAAGAACAGCAACAGCTCAGTGTCCTTCTGGAAGCCTTCAAAGGCCTTTTGGAGGAGCATTCTTCCCTGTTAGCAAGTCAGCAGTAAGGATCCAATCTGGCAATGAGACAAGAGTTTACTCGTGGGGGTAGTGCAGATCTGGCATACACTTGAGAGTGACGCATCACTCGTCCTGCTCTTCAAAGATCTTTAGCACATGTTCTGCCCGAGGGTTGAATTGGTCTGCTTATCTCCTGTCCCTCTAACGTTCAGAAAGACAGACTCAGATAAATACTACCTATAAAGATTAGTAATAGTTATTTCTGTGAATAAAAGCTCAAGAGATCAGTAAAACATGAGAAGAGCACTACTGGGTAGACCAGTGGTCCATGCAGCCCGGTATTGTGTCTCCAGCATTAGAAGATGCCACTTAGGGAGAATACAGGAGTTTAGTCCTTTCCTATGATTCATTTCCATGGTATTCCTCCAGCATTCCCAACTGACATATTAAGACTATTAAAGCCACCCCTTTTAGTACCTTTTAGTTTAAATTTATGTAACTTTTTCCATGAATATGTTGCATCCCTTTTTGACCCTGCGATGCTGTCTGCTTCCACCCGCTTCTGTGGCAGCAAGTTCCAAAGGTTCACAGCCTGCTGTGAAAAGAAGTGCTTTTATCTGTTTTAAATTACCTTTATACTAGCTTCATTGAGTTTCCCTAGTTCTAGTGTTGAGGGATTTGCTGAACAACAGCCTTGCATTCAGCTAATCCACCACCTTCCTGCTTTTGCAAACCTTGGCTCTCCCCCTAGCCATCTCTTCTCACAGCTGAGGACCCCCATTTTGTAATATCTAACTAAATCTGACACATCTCAGTTTATGAAAGCTACCACAGACCTGTCAGCACCATAATACATACAATACCAGTCCCTGGCTTATTTTGGTGCTGCAGAAATTGAAGCGTAGTCAAGCTGAGCATGTAGTTGCACACGCCTGGTCTATGCTCTTCTGCCTGCCCTGCATGGTTCTGCAGCACACTGCCAGCCCATTGCTCTTGTCTTAAATGCACTATTACAAGAATGCAAAAGCACCAGACTCACAAATCATTGTTGCTAGACTTTCTCTGGCAGTTCTTAAAAGCAGAAACATTAAAGTGAAAAACAGATCAGTTCTGTCTGCTGCAGAAATAAAGCCTCACTGAACAGTAATAAAAGAGTGCTGTATTTTCCAAGACAGAAGGTCATGTGAAGGTTAATAGGACCTGTTCACTTAAAAGTCCTAAAATTTCAGGGGCATCAAGCTGACCCTAATACAAAAGAGGAGAAAGCCATCATAAATAAGAGCCTTAACAGGCAGGACTGTCTGCCATAAAGCAGTTTAAAATTCTAGAAATACAGGTAATTTGTCAGCAAAATATAGCTAATTCTTCTCATCTTCTCCACCATAGGGCCACCCTGCAGCAAAGACCAACTGTCCGTTCACTTCTGCCAGAGGCTGAAAGGCATTGGCAAGTGCTTGCTGCCATCAATACAGACTCAGTGCTGCTTCACGTGTAGCCAGCCCCGAATTCGTAACAAAGCAAGATACTGGGATCAGCGAGGCCTCAGACAACAAAATTATACTAAATCTAGAAGAAGATCACCTCAAAACCAAGAAAACAACAACCAAGCTGCTCAGCACTAGTTGTTTTTTATCTAGTTGCTTTGAGTAGGGCTTCTGTTCACCGGTTTTACGTTCCTTCTTTTTTTTCTGAATCATCCAACATAAATGGAAATCTGTGATCAAAACTGGCAAAACACATCCCTTAGGGTTATCAGTCCTAATTTACTGCTTCAAATTTTTCTCAGTAATAGTCAAAAATTTGTAACATAATTTGCAATATACCAGCAGCTAGTACTTCTTAGGCATGCATAGAGGCTAGAAACAAGCTTGCAAGGATTTTTTTATTTTTTTAAGTGAATGTTTTACTTGTTCTTTCTTCCACCTCTTTTCTGAAACCCACTTGAAACAGCAGCACCACTTACTCGAGTGCTGAGTGAAGGCGGCCCATGGGGCAACAGACACAGACCTGCACTGTGGGCCAGATCCCTCTATGCTCACGCACTTTTCTGTTTTTAGGAATCAAGGTGAAGTGGCAGTGTTTCTCTAAGTTGTTTGTTCACTTCATAAATTTAAAAACAGAGTTTTGTAATAACTGATTGTGATGTGCAGGCCAAATAGAAACATTGGGTTTTTCAAAAGAAAAAAATGTTCATTTAGTACTTGACTGAACCTCTAAAGGATACCTCAGTAATAGCCTGTCCTGGCCAGTTTTCTTCTGCTGCAAATGTCTTGCTGTATCCTGAAAACCCCACCAAATATGGGATGTTAAGTTCCCAAATATGTTTTAAGCAACATTTCTTGGTACCATGAAGCAAAGCTGTTTGCATCTACCACCTTAATAGATAGATTGTAATTCACACCAATATTCAGTGATAGAGCTATCATTTAGTCCAGTATCTCCTACGAGAGTGTAAGCCCACATCCACAAGAGTACTGTATCACCTCACTCACAGCAAACTTTTCCCCCAGTGCAAATCCTTGATCATAGTGAGGGTGAGGGCGCCTGGGACAGAGTATCTGCGTAGCTCTGGGCCTCAGGCATTAGGAGAGCACTAGCCAAATAGCATATCTGTTTTGCTATTGAGGAAAATAGCAGAACAAACTTTAGGGAGACCAGACTGGACCCTTTGAAGCAAAGCTGGGCATTTTCAAAAGAGCTGGACAAAGTCTGACATTTAGATTCCTTTGAAATTCAGTAGGATTTGGACACCTTGGTTCTTCATGCTCTTTTGAAAAATCTCAGATTTAATCCCTAGTTACCTGATAATTTGAGATTGTAATACAGGGAAATGTCACATTTTATGCAGTGTAGAGTGAGACACATAGCCATGAATCCAAGTGTCACTATGGTTACAAAGCTATGACTAGCAACAGCCCTATTTCTAGACAGACCTTTTTGAAAGTTAACAGAAATATTTGGGCCTGGCTGTAAGGTATTAACCTAATGGTGGCCACAAGTCTAATTGTCCTTTTTCATAAGCTTGTGACCTTTGGTTAAGGGCTCACTTCTTCACTTGAAGTCTCTGGGTGTTCAGAATATGCAGCATAGTAAGGTTAGATTTATTAACCTCTGTGATGGCAATATAACCCCAGTTATAGGTGCTGATAAAACTTAAAATCCACTGTTAAAAATATGGTGCTAGTATAACAGATGTGGGGGATAACTTACAATGGTGCATGTGCGTGCATGTGTGTACATAGCATACATGCATATACTCTTTAAATAATACATGTCTGTGGTGTTGCTGGCCAATGCCAGACAGAATGCTTTTTAAGTTTCACACTGTGCTTATGTCCTTCTGAGGTCCTACTGACCCTTTGAGCAATAGAAATCCGGGCAGTTCTTATTCCACTGGGCACAGAAATACTGAAACATATGAAGGAATGGAGGTTTCCCATCTGATTCAGGAAGCATTTGGGCAGGGCTTGGCCTCAGGCTGCGTTGTATAGAGCAGAGCCTGTACTGCTACATCCAAGGCAGTTCTCTGATGGCCAAACAACCTAGACTGGTGGACAGTGCAGATGCTTCTGTTGTTCCCAGAAGCATCTTCTAGGATTTGGCAAGGACAAAGTGAGATTCACTTAAGACTTTTCTGTGCTCAGAGGTACCTGCAACGTTTTATCCACAGAGGTCAGCAGAAGTGGGCCATCAGGTATGTAGGCTAATAAGAAAGGAGCTGACTGAGTGGTTTTAGTGCAGGTGGGAGGAAAAGTGCCTGGGGGGCTTGCCCCTTCCAGTGCTCTTTATGGCTAGTGTGGAGTAAAACCATTTCTGGCTTCATTGTTTTCTTCAGGGAGCTGTAATTTCATTTGAAATGGTTAACAATGAATAAACTACATTATGGACATTAATAAATATAATCTTTCTACCCAGGGAAGCACAGTCATCGCTGTTGCTCAGCTTAAAACTTTAGGGAAAAGACTGTGACAACAACATGAACTGTTTCAATAGAGCAGTGCCACTGCTGTATTTTACATAGGTTCTTACATAGCACTCATCAGCCTAGTATCTCCTCTATGCTCTATATGTGCAGTCACCTCTCCTATCCACTTAGCAAGATTCCTTTCTTATGACATAACTCTTTTTAAGTAAAGGTGGATTTATGATCCTAACCCAGATGGTCACTATTCTCAAAACTGAATAGAATATTAAGTGCAGAGGTGTAATATCATTATATTATCATATTAGCTTGAGACACATCAGCTTCAACAGGTTGCTCAGGAAAAAAATGTGTATTGGGCACATTCACTGCTTGTTCTAACATTTCAAGGTTTAAAGAGCAAATTATGATGACATATTTGTTTCAAGCTTCAATAAATGCCATTGCTTTCATCTGATGTCTCTGGTATTTTATGTTTCCAGTGCAAGAAGATTCATAGATGGGATTGCAAGGAAAAAAAACTTTAGAAAGTATCTTTTCCAGGCGAATCCTCATCATTGAGGTATTTTGATGCTTGATATTCCAACATAAAAGAGACCATTAAAAAGGGTGAGGGAAAAAGTAGTGGAATGAAGCATGGTGCTAAGTAAAAATTTCCTATGAAATAGATGGCATCTTACCACTTCTGGTCCCAGCAGATGTGCCTTATCTCCTTGGCAGCAGATGTGTGCCTGTCTATTGTGTCTGTTGTGGGATATATTTGTTTCCCTGAACAGTTGTATACAATATGATCATGCCCACCTCCCATGCCATCCCCTGGAGTGTTTTCAGTGCTCAAGTTTTGCAAGTACTGCTGATGACATTCGTTGACATGCAGCCCAGGAGCACAGGCATTGCAGTTAGGCATATGTGCTTGGGTAGAGAGCACCATCACCATTGCACTCCATTACCAAACTCCACCCATGGATCCATCCATGGGTTCAGCCTCATAACACCCTATGGAAGTTGCTTCTTCTTGCTTTACAAAGTGTGGATCTCCATCCTGCACAGGTGCTCTAAGGGAGAGGAATGAACTGAATTGAAATATGAGTTGAGGCTCCCTCCACTTTGCAAAGGCTCGTTAGGCTTTCACTGGATGACCTGCTGCACAACACACAGCCTGACGAGTTTCTGCTGTCTGCTGCATTGTGTGACATGGCTTGCTGCACTTCTTTGGCCTGGCCAAGCATGCAGCACCCACCAAAATAACTGCCTTTTGGCTGCCTAGCATCAGCTTGAAATCAAATCAGCATGCAGGGAAAACATTGTGCTTGTGGCTCTAGTGATTTTAGTAGAAATAGGGTCCCTAGAGCGTGGGTGGATTGGAGCAATCGGTTGTCTGTTTTCCCCCATGACTTCTGTGGAAAAGTATTTGTCAGTCAGTGGCTGTACCACTTTTATGGAAATACATGAGAAGTGCATGATATTACCCATGCTTAAGCAGAATTAAGTGTATGTAATGTAGATATAGGCATCCAGGGATAGCTACAGAAAGAAGTTATCTACTACATTTCGTAAGTAATCACTGACTGATTGTCTGCTAATCGTTATATATGCAACTTCCATTTGTCCACTCTACAAGTTGTTTTAGGGCACTTTGAAATCCAGGACACTGCTCAGGAAGACCTTAATTTTCACACAGCAAACTCCACATCATGTGTGCCTCAAACTGTCAGGTACAATCTTGCAGCTCGCTGACAGGGGGATGTTGGGCGTCTTCCTTCTCTTAAGCCTTTCTAAGGCTGCTGGCTGCAAGGGTGAGTGTGGTTTTTGGCACCTAGTGACAGCAGCCCTGCTGTGAACCAGCCCTGGGTAAGCCAAAGGCCAGATGAGCGTCCTCACTATTGACCTGGAATAACTTACTTCTTCAGCTGGGTTTCACATAGGGTCTCATCTCGTGCTGTGCAATCCTAGCGGGCTAGGCAGTGCGGTGTGTATAGGTGAGAGTCTCATTAGTACTTAAATGTGAAAGTAGCTACGTTGTGGTATCAAGGCACAATCCGCACTATTTCTAGGTGTGCAGGCTTTTCTGCCAGCAAGAACACACTTGCTGCCAGCAGGAACTCACATGGTCATGGGATGAGGTGAGAAAGAAGTAGGGATTTGAGGACCGGCGTTCCAGATGGAGGCACTTAATGCAGCAGCACTGATTGATAGATTAATTTTATGGATACAGAAGCCCATCTCATGCGATGTTCAGCCCAGCTGGTCTTGGCTTCACAGCCATGTAAAATTCAAGTTATTGCATCTGAGCTGAGGGGAGGCCATGAGCATCCTCAGGCTCCAGCGTGAAGCAGGAGTTTGCTTACAGCAGATGTCCCCAAGTGCTCCCTGCGTGTGACCTGGAAGCTGACAGGTCCCTGTTGCTCCCGGGTCACTTCATTTCTATTCATGCCTGTCTTCTGAGTGTGCGTTTAGGCAAGGAGGCAGAGGGGATGTTGCAGCAGCCAGACCCTGCTGGAGTTAATGGGAGCAGAAACGGGTCTTGGTAATTATTGTAGTTACACGTTCAGCTAACTTGATTTTGGTTGAAGCTTCCTGCTGGCTCCTGCTCCTCTCCCACAAGGGACACATGGTCTGATTGACAAGGGTACCCTCGTTTATATGGGGACCCTGCTGGGAGCAGGCAGCGCTGGCATAAAACCCGTGCAAGGATGCTGG